CCCCTCAGCCTCCTCTTCTCCAGTCTGAACCCCCCAGTTCCCCCAGCCGCTCCCCAGCAGACCTGTGCTCCAGACCCTGCCCCAGCTCCGTTGCCCTTCTCTGGCCACGCTCGAGTCATTCAATGGCCTTTTTGGGGTGAGGGGCCCAGAACTGAGCCCAGGAATCGAGGGGCGGCCTCCCCAGTGCCGAGCCCAGGGCTCAGATCCCTTCCCTGTCCCTGCTGGCCACGCCAGTGCTGACACCAGCCAGGATGCCGTTGCCCTCCTTGGCCCCCTGGGCACACTCTGGCTCATTCTCAACCCCCCCCAGTCCCACTCTGACCAGCAGCTCTCCAGCCACTCCTCCCCAGGCCTGTAGACCCCCTGGGGGTTGTTGTGGCCCAAGGGCAGCCCCCGGCACTTGCCCTCAGTGAAACTCCCCCAGTTGGGCTCAGCCCATGGCTCCAGCCTGCCCAGGGCTCTCTGCAGCCTCCCCACCCTCGAGCAGATCAACACTCCCACCCAGCCGGGTGTTATCTGCAAACTGACTGAGGGGGCACTCGATCCCCGCGTCTACATCATCGATAACGTTCTCACAGCGTACTCACAATCTCATCCCCTGGCTTGCAGCTGTCGACCAGGTCGGCGAGGAGAATAGCATCCTTGGAGCGGGGCAGCCTGCCAGCAGCCACCTTCCCAGGGCTCTCCTGGATTTTAATGCGCTGATAGTTCTGATAGACTGTCTGCAGCAACAAAATAAAAGTTACCGAGCAAGCCTGGCGGGCATCAGCACAGCCGATGCTTCTCAAAGGCACCTCACCAGAGAAGCCTCATTCAGAGATTTACTACGGTTAGAAAACTACGGGCATGAGAGGATGGAGCAATTCCAGGGCGCGATGGGCAAAAACGGGGAGAGGAACGCACTTTGCCACATCTCATTTTGTCCACCCAAATACCAGACCGGTTCCTGGGAGAAGGGTGCTCCACTTGTGACACTTGGAGATAGCAAAGCAAAGAATGAAAGTCAGGAAGCTCCATATCGATGATTTTGCTACTGCCTCTAGTTTCCTTAGCTAGCAGATCAGGAAATACTGACCTGACCTGGGAAGGAGGAGGGCTGGACAGTCTGTGTTTGCGTTTCTACAACATGGAAAGGTAACTGCCTACCACAGAGTGTGGCAAACAAAAGATTCAGCCCAAACACTTACAATGAGGCAATAAATGACTTCTGGCTGCTAAATTGGGCAGATTCTAGGTCAAGAGCTCAAAGACCCAAGATCTACCTTCACAGACCCCCGGATAGAGCAGCAGACCCCGCTCCCGGCACGAAGCCTGTTCAGAGGGTGGGAGCCAAGGCGGGGCTGGGAGGACCAGGCAGCGTGAGGGCACGGGCAGGACGAGGCAGGCCAGCACTTCTCTTACCTCTTCCATGTTGATTTCAAAGGGGCCCAGAGACTGACACTCTGGACAAGAACCAGGTTTCACCTCCTGGTTCTGGGACTGGAAGAAGGGTCCCAGGATGAAGCTGCACTTGCTGCAGTTGTATTTGACCATGCTGAGCTGAGGCAGGACCCCTGTGCAGCTCGTCACCACTCCGCTGGTCCGGATCAGCTGATTCAAGTGCAGTTGCCTGAGGAAAGACACAGAGATGCTGGATGCCTGCAGGGCACAGAAAGCAGAACACCCTGCAGAAATACTCTTGCTACAAGGTACAACCCCCAAAGGCCTAGTGAGAGACAGTTTTAAGTGGAAGTTTTCTACCAAGGTTTGTGTTTTACCTTGGGGACACTGAAATCTCATCCTTAATATGACTTTTTTTTTTTCCTGTAATAAGCTCAGGCATCCTGCTAGACTCACCCAGAGGTTTAGCTAGCAGATGAGTCACCCTCGGCACCCCAAAGCCTGCTTCTGGCCACTGAATTACAGAATTCACAGAAGCCACTGCTGGTAATTCTGCTCCTTACCTGAGTGACCGCAGCTCTTCCACCAGAGGGAGGTAGGAGATACGGACATGGATCTCCTGAGCAATGCGATCATATTTGGGGTACATGGCCAACACCACTTCCTTGGCAGCCTCATCAAAGATCTTCAGCATTTCTGCTGGGGCCTCAGGCAGAAAGTAGGCAAGGACATGTTCCTGGGCTGCCAGATCCTCGTAGTTCACCACCAGACTCTCTCTGTTCTCTTAAGAAAAAGATGGGGTGAATTGTATTTTCAGCTCCCCAAGGAGTGCAAAAGAGCATCAGAACAGACACGCCTGTGTCCTGCAAGCTGCAGATGTCTGCAGCTTCCCTGAAAAACGTTTAGGGGGCAACAATTTGAAAAAGGCTGGAAAAATCTTTTTAATTTATTTCTCTAACAATCAGTACCAAGCTTGTGATTGTTCGTCTCCAGTTCAGCACAGGTACTTCCCAGGCTCAGTGTTCCTGAGGCTCAAAAGCCTCAGCCCAACACACAACTTTCCCACAGGCCTCCAGAAAACACAAGTTAACTGGAGAGACAACTGTGCTGAACAGCTGGCAAAAACCTTCAGTGTCTCTCGTTCCTGGAAAGGGAAAAGACAAATGCCTTTCATCTCCTGTAACACTGTGTAACACTGACCCTGATCCACCACTCAAGCTTCTGGAGGTTCCACCGCTGTGTAAAGAAGAAATACAAACAACTGCAGTTACACAAGCTGTTCCTAGATGTGACAATTTCTGCTTTTAAAATTTATCCGTGACAGCCTTAATGGCTGCTCCTTCTGGCAGTGCCTAGTCAGAATTCAGGGCTACAGCACTGACATGGTTTTCAAAGTCACAAGGTCTATTTGTGTCCCCTCACTCGATAATCCAGTTTCCAGTGTGAGAAAGTAACCGGCACAGACAGCAAGCAATTGTTCTCTCTTTCAGATCACAAACCTGCAGACCACTGTCTGCTGCCCCACACATTCTTTTGCTAGCATTTCTACGATATGAATATTAATGAGTAGCGGATGCCAGGGGGCCTTCTAATTAGTCAGCCAGAATCAAAGGAGATAGCAGACATGCTTCCATTATTCATTTATCCCCATCAGCATCCGGGTTTCTTAAAGTGCTGACTCAATGTCTGGGACAAACAGGGCAGGCAGAAAAAACCCACCAACGGACTGGATCACTGCAAAGTACCGTGGCCCACATAACGAAGAAGAGCCTCTGATCACCCAGCCCTACCTTTGCACATGTCGCTGATCCTCTCCTTGAAGACGTTGTGCCCATGGTCATCCACATGGGTCTTCAAGAAGTTCTTGAAGCGGTTGTAGATCTCAAGCCGGGGAGCTGCCATGGAAACCCACTCCCTCACCGAATGCCCCTTCATATCTTCCAGATTCTCAATGCTCTCAATCATGTCTTCATCCTCCTCTTCCATGCCATCGGCAGCCCGTTCTGCCAGCCTCCTCTTCCGCGAAGGACGCTCTTCGTCTTCGTCGTCACTGTCTAAGGGTTGGGAGGAAAAATTGTTAAAGAGCTGGGATTCCCACTGCCACTCTCTGATCAGGCATGGTTGGATTGCACAGGCTGTGGAAGCACAGAGGTTCAGAACCTGGGGTACACCCCAAGAACCATCCCAGGCCCAGCATAAATCCAGCTGTAGCCTGGCTGCTACGTCCTCCACAACGCAGCTAAAGACTTTATGGAGGTAAATTTGTATTCAACAGCACACAGTCATGTCTTTAACACACCAAGGGAGGAAGGCCAAGGAATGGGCTTCCAAGTACATCACAGGCCCTCCCACCCAGGCCACAGAAGCCTCTACAGGAACATCAACACCAACAAACTCCACAACATATGCTCAGGAGAATCCCAAACCCTTGATACAGGCCCGGGATCCTGACTTTGTCTCAGTGAACACGTAACCAGAGGAACACACCACATGAGCTCCTAGGGAGCCCAAATCAAAGGGATCATGCACTGGGGAGCCCAGCCCAGAGATTTCACTGAGAGATCAAACACGCTGGAGGTCCGGGGACCTCCCAAGGGCCAGCTGACGGCTTGGCCCAGCAGCCTCCCCTGTACGTACCGTAGAGCAGCCCTCTCCTCATGCGGCCCATGCCCTGCTGCAGCTCGCGGTCTCGCTGCCTCATTTCTCGCTCCGCAGCTTCCCGCTGGCTGGCCGTCAGCTCCTCCACATCTTCATCGTCCAGGGCCAGGCCCTCAGCTTCATACACGTCCAGCTCGGGGATGGGGCGGTAGTCCCTGGCACACACACACACAGAGCACCGAATCAGCCCAGGCTCCACAAAAGGTTTCTCCAGCCTTTCCCTGGCTGCTGCTGGGTCGGTGTCGGGGCAGTCGCTCTGCAGCAAGACTGACCACGTCGAGCAGGAAGGGGCTTCATGGCAGAAGAGGCCCACTGGCACAGAGGGCTCCAGCACCACGGTTACGAATGCCAACATTCAAGGTTTTGTACTGTAAAGGTCACCCCCTCGCCAGCAGGCCTGCCTGAGCGGAAACATTTATGCCTGCAGGAGGAAGGAGCTGGGCTGGATGCACGTCACACGTCCAGGGAGATCCTGGCTTACCCACACAGGATCACAATGGCATGGTGCTTCCAGCTTGCAATTTGCTCAATTCCTCCAGGATTCTGATGACACCACACACTTGCAGGGCAAGCTTTTAGGGGAACACACTGACCTTTCTCCACTGTCCAGCAGCAATTCGGCTCACTCACCCCAGCCACCAGCACAGCAGAGGGACCCCCCCATGGCTTAGAGCCCCCACTGTGTCTCTGGCTGCACCAAAACCCCATCCCCAGACCCAACGCCCCAGAGAGTAGCTCCCACCAGCTTCCTTACCTTTCCATCCCTTCCCCAATGAGCTCTTCTCCTTCCTCCTCCTCCTCATCGGGGAGCCCCTCGGTCCCCAGGAGCCCTTCAGACTCATCCTCGAAGGGGGGCAGGTCCCGCCCGGGGCTGGATGTGAAGGCATCGCCACGTCGTGAGCTGCGGACGGGACTGGTGGCTGCTGCCTGTGCCTCGGAGGAGTCCTGCAAGGACAGGGGGGAGAGGGTGAGGGGCCCGGCGTGTCACCACAGGGGATAAAAGAACTCATGTCGATAAGCAGACACTCCTTTATTAACGGCCGGGGGACACAGGGGAGTCATCTCACCAACAGCACACCCCTCACCCGTGTAGCATGTTTATTATACAGGGTACAGCAATACATAACAAACAAGTTCTCATACATAGACACGATCATTCCCACAACTCAGTTTTCTTATTCCCTCCTCTTTCCGGCCACGCACACTTGAGCCCGGACATGAGTTGGGGGGCTGCTTCTGCAACCACCACGGACCACTGACTCAAAAGAAAGGCCCTCCAGGGCCCTTGGCTCAAGGACTTTGGCTCACATTGAGATTTTAACATGCTTCGAGACCCTTTCACAGTGTATTTTTTAAACACCTGGTCTAGAGGGCAATAAATCCTCCTTACCTGAACATCCTAACAACGGTACCTGCTCATGAGTCGTATTCTTTGAACAGAAATCTGGTTAATAGTTAGTGCTGGCCTACACGGCCTGACCCTGGGACTTTACAGAGGGCTTTGTAGCTGCGTAACTGGTTGTCTGGTTATTCAAAATCATTAATTATTTAAACCCAAATCACCCAAAATCACTAAAATCGGCTCAAATTAATAACGAACCGGTAACCGGGGCACCCCCCTCCCCGGCAGCGGGCCTCCGGGAGCCTCTGCCACGGGGGCGGCGGTCAGGAGGGGCCGCGGATCATCCTCTGTCGCGGGGAGGATGAAAATAATTCGCCCTCCTCGCAAATACCAGCGGAGAGGCAGGGGAGAGCGGGGGGAAACCCGCCCTCCGCGCCCGGGGCTGCTGGGCGCAGGCGAGAGGCTCCGGACCCCCCCCCTCGCCCCGACACGGGTCTCCTCTCCGGAGGGAAACCTCCCCGGCC